TTATTGACTTACAAACAAAACAAATATATTACAAAATATCTAACCAAGGTACCACAATTAAAAAACAACCATTTATACTATTATCACCTGCAATTCTTGTGGCAGTAACAGGTGGTTGTGCTACTTTCTATGATATTCTTAAAAACAAAAAAAATAAGTTTTATATTATGAAACTTGATAAAGCAGCACCTCCTGCCATTGCATTCCTTACAACTTGGCAACAAGGTGGACCAAAACTACATAGTTTGTTTTTTCTATTCATCCTATTTTTTGAATTTTTTATTAATCATTTTTCTAGTAATTGATAAAAATGGAAAGGTTAATATCTATGAAGTACTGGTTAATCCAGATCTTGAAGTATCAACAACCAATATTCTTACAAAAGCTTTATTATAATAATCATTCGTTTCATCTTTTCACTTTTCTTAAGAACTTTTAAATAAAAATATGAAACATATATTTAAAAGATTAAATTTTATAAAAAATAATTTAATTAATAAAAAAAAAATATTATAAATAAAATAAAAGTAAAAACCCTTTCAGAAAAAAAGATTGAATAGTTCACAATGGCTGAAGCTGTAGCCCAACCAGTTGAAACTGTTGCACACACTTTTGCACCAAAACTTTTCAACAAATGGAGTTATGATGTTACTGTTAGTGATATTTCACTCAAAGAACTTCTTGCAATTAACAGTAAACTTAAGTATCAAGTTTTCCTTCCACATACAGCTGGAAGATATCAAATTAAGCCATTCAGAAAGATTCAATGCCCAATTGTTGAAAGATTAGTTTGCTGTATGATGCAACATGGAAAGAACTCAGGAAAGAAACTTCTTGCTATGAGAGTTGTTGAAGAATCCTTTGAAATTATTCATTTATTAACTGAAAAGAACCCAATTCAAGTATTAGTTGATGCTATCATTAATGCATCACCAAGAGAAGATTCAACTCGTGTTGGAACAGGAGGAAATGCTAAGAGACAAGCTGTTGATGTTTCACCATTAAGAAGAATCAACCAAGCCCTCTATTTAATGACTATGGGATGCAGAAGTGCAGCATTCAGAAACTCTAAAACTCTTGCCGAATGTCTTGCTGATGAAATTGTCAATGCATCTAAATCTAATACTGCTTCATTTGCCATTAAGAAGAAGGAAGATATGGAACGTGTTGCTAAATCTAACAGATAAATTTTTGAAATTAATAAATGGTTGTTGAAGAATTCTTTTTTGTTATTTTTATAATTGTTTTTTAACTTTTATTTTTAATTATTTCAATCAAACTATTTTTTACATAATCATTGATTAAACTTTATCATCATAAGATGGAAAATTATATTATTGAATATCTAATGAGAGAAGTTGATGACATAAAAGAATTAAACCCCATTCAAATAATAAAAAGAGAATATAAAATAGCAAAAGTTATGATGAATGAAAGAAGGAAAAATAAGTTAGAATGTTGTCAAGCTGGGAATAATGGATTGTTAGTTTTTGGTTATTGTACGTGTAAAGACACTGAGTTATTAGTTCTTTATAATAAAACAATAATTAAATTAAAGATTCCTATTGGAATTGGAGAATTTTCTCGGTTTGTTCAAGTAAAAGAGAGAGGAATTCTTACTATTGAATTAAGAAAAAAGGATATTCTGATTGTCGGAATCCAAAATATTTGTTTGGAACGATATTGGGGAATATCTTTTGCTAATTGGATTTCAGGAAGAATAGAAATTCATTTTGCCAATAGGGTACTAGAAGATTGTTGGATTTCTTTATGGCTACGGTCAATTGATAATGAATTATTATTTATTAAGAAAAAAAGAATGATGGTTGGTGTTAAAGTTTCTTGTTTTGATGGTAAAACTTTAAAGAAAGGAATGTACTGTCTTCGTCTTCATGTTAAACAGTTTTTTGAAACTGAATTGGTTAAAGAAATTTATATCAATTCACCATACATTTCTTCATATGATGTTGTTGTTAATAATTAACTTCTTGTGTTATATATAACCATAAAGAATTAAAAAATTAAAAAAGGGTTTTTTAAATAAAAAGTTTAAAAAAGAAAAAGGAAAAAGGTTATTTAGTCATGACAACAAGAATCAATATCCCAAAAGAAAGAAATGACAAGTTAGAATGGAAACGGCTTATTGTTGTTTTAGAAAATGCTCCACTTGAGCCTGTTAAAGTTGGGGCTGTTTATAAATTAGCATCAACTGATTCTCCAAATACATTAAAGGATTTACAAAAAAGAGGAAAAGATACTACAATATATCGTCCTGATATTCTTCATTATGTTTGTTATTTATTAAATAATATTTTTATTTTAATTCTAATATTATTAGACATTATTAACATTACTTGACAGTCCATTAAATAAAGCTGGTATGTTACAAATATTTATTAGAACATATAATAACACTCTGATTGAAGTTAATCCACAACTTCGTATTCCAAGAACATATAAAAGATTTGCTGGATTAATGGTTCAATTACTTCATAAATTATCAATTCATGCAGCTGATGGACCTGATAAATTACTTTCTGTTATAAAGAATCCTGTTACTCAATATTTCCCACCAGGTGCTAAAGTTTTTGGATTATCTTATGCTTCAGAAAAATTAGTTGATATTAACCAAAGTGTTGCAGAAGCAGTTAAGGATGATAATTGTGCTGTTTTTGTTATTGGAGCTTTTGCACATGGACATATTAATATTGATTATACTGATATTACTTTATCAATTTCAAATTATCCATTATCAGCTGCTTGTGTTGCTGGTAAAGTTTGTTCTGCATTTGAGAAATTATGGGGTGTTCTTTGATTAATTTATCTCTATATTTTTTAGTTTAATATATGTTTTTTGGGGTTTTACAAAGTCAATAGATAGAATGTTTGAATATTGTAACTTTAATATTATTTTTAGGTTCTAATACACATCATCAAAACTAAAAATATATTCCAAAAAAATAATAAACACAACAATTAAACTAAAAATTATTACTATATTTATTATTATATTGTTATTTTAATAGTAAAGAATTTTATTATTAAATCATTCATAAAAATAATAAAATACATATAGTAATAATAGAAGAAATATTAGTAGTATAAAAATATAAACCAAAGAATGAGTTGGTGGTTATATTTTTAGAAGATATTTTATTTAATTTTAAATTATCCTAACTCATTTTATGATAAAATATTATTTTTTTATTGTAGTTATTATATTATGTATTTTCTGTTTTTTTTGTAGTTATTGTAAAATAGAACTAACAAATTCTTTAATATTTTTATTTATGCATGTTAATTTAATGGTTTATCTTTTGTAGGAAAGGAATTATTTAACCTCCATATTGTTGTATTAAAATATTATTAATACTTATTAATTAGCTTGGTATGTATATTAAACATACTATACAAACTCTGCTTAACAATAAAAACTAGACTATTTGAAAGCATAATTTATACAACCTTTTGTTCTTTAGAAGAATAAATCCAAAATAAGAGTATATAGCGTCTGAGTATAATGTACATTTCATGAAGAATATAAAAACAAGCAATGAAGAGAGTGGAAATTTATTTAATAAAAATAGAGTACTAATTAACTTAGTGATATTTATAATATATTATCCCAAAAAGGATTAATGAAAAGAGAATAAATAGATAAAAAATGTTTTTGAAAATATATTACTAAACTATAAAATTCATAAAAATGGATTAATAAATGAATAAAGAAAATTAATTATTTTTTAATAACATCAAAAATATGAATGTCAATATGCTTAATTATACTGATTTATATTATTAATGGTTCAAATAAGTAAGTTTAATAAATAATAAGTTTCATTTTCTTATTTATAAATGTTGTTAAGTATTATATTGAAAAACAAATTAGTGTGAAATAACTATGAATTAAAACTTCTTATACAATATAATATTATTTGATATTACATATAGTTTGTTTTTGTTATGACGTATTAATGTTATTGATTTGTTCTAAACAATAAAAAATAAAATTTTTACATAATAAAGCGTTTGTTTTGCTTTACCACTACATTGTGTTAGTTTATTTTTTTGGTTTTATGTGTCTCAATATTTTACAAGAGAATTTAGTGTTGATTCTTGAAACAACAACTAAGTATAAATACAATACATTGACTAGAAGTGGATTAAATTAATCATCTCATTTAACTTATTTTTCTTCTTTTGTACATTACTCTTCTCCTATTTGATTCTTTGCCGAATGGTATTAAACGTATGTTCTTAGTTCCTGAAAATAGTAAGATCATTAATTTTTAATTCAGTGGTGTTTGTTAGATTTTCCATTTGCTGAAACAATACCCTGATCTAAAAAAGATTTTAGGTTTTTTCATTTTTCAATGTCTAATTGGAAAGAAGTAATTGGAACAATTCCATCTAGTTTTTGTCCACGTTGTGGTACATACCTTATTCTTTCAGACAGTGGAGATATTGTATGTGATGTGTGTCATTTTGTTATCAGTGCAGATCGTTTGTTATTATCTATACTTTTTATAAAGAAATAAACAATTGAAATGAGTGAATTGGATTGAAAATGAAACGCTTGTTCTTCTTGTTGTTAAAATCGTAAAGAAAGAGTTAGACATTTACATAAATTATAGAATTCAAATACAACCCAATTGAAACAACATCTTCAATATTTGAGATGAGTAATAAAAAACGTATTGATTCAAAAATTAAAGAAATTTTACCAACAGGTGCTATTGTATACGAAAAATGTCCTAATTGTGGAAATGAAACAATGCATTATCACTCTGCACAAGTTAGATCTGTTGATGAAGGTCAAACTGTTTATTATGAATGTCCTAATTGTGGTCATCAAGAAACTGTTAATACATAATTTGATAAAGAAAGTTTTGATTGACTGATTATTTTGTTTTTTTTCGTTTTATCATTTTAACTACAATAAGATTCTATCTTATCATATTAAAACAGTATGTCGTTTTCTTATTATTTCATTCATTCTAATGGAAACATCATCACCTATTCAAGAATCTTCTTGTCTTCATCAAGTTTGTTGAATTTTATCTATAAAAACAATATAACTTAATTAAAGTAGTCAGACTATGTTTCTTCTTTATTAGATATTGAATGCTCAGTATCAGCTCATATTGGTTATTCTAATAATGAGTATGACGACTGGATTCCTTTTGACAAAAATGCATTTCAACATTCAATATCATATCCATACAAACAAACCCAATCTATTCAGAAATAACAGAGAATAATTTTAAAAGTATTGAAGAAACAACTACAAACACATCCAAATAATAATTAATAAATAATTTTTTAATCAATTTCTTTAAATGATTTCAATGACATGATTTTCAGTAGAATTTAACCAAGTAATATAATAATTACATTTTTGTGTATAATTCTAATAAATAAAATTTTTAGTAATGATGTTTATTAACAAAAAATTGAAACATAAAGAAATTTAGTAAATTTATAATTAAAATATAGAAAAAATAATTAATTCAGAAATTACTTTGGAAGGGTGTCACCAAGAATGATCTGAGCTGGTGCTTTGTCTTGAGGTTGTTGAGGAGTGACTAATGTTGGTTGAGTATTCTTAGCAAGTTCTTCTAGTTTTTCAATTTCACCATCATCCTTTAAGTCGTTAAAATGATGTGTATCTTCTGGACCATGAACCTCAGGAACAATAGGAGGTGGGATATTTCTAATTAATTGAAATTTAACACTCCTAAAGAACTTATGTGATTTAATTTCTTCAGCACCTTTTTTTGTACCTAAACGACGTTCAGGGTCAGTTACAAGTAACTTTTTAATTAAATCACGAGCACTTGAAGAAACTGGATATGTCCAATTTTTTGGGAAAAGGACTTCACCATCAAGAATTTGAGAAAAGACTTGGTCTCTATTTCTTGAAAAGAATGGTGTTCTTCCATAAAGAATTTCATACATGAATATACCAAATGTCCACCAATCAACTGACCCTGAATGACCATAACCAACAATAACTTCAGGTGCTAAATACTCTGCAGTTCCAACAAAAGAATTTGTGATAAAAGATGGTTCTTTTTTAAATTGTTCTTTAACATTAAGAAGAGCCTGAGACATAGTAGATCCTTTAGAAGGGCCAGTCTTACTTAAATCAAAATCAGATAACATAATATGACCGTTTCCATTTAACAATACATTTTCAGGTTTTAAATCTCTATATATAATACCATTTAAGTGTAAATATTCTAAGGCTAATAAAACTTCAGCCAAATAAAATTTTGCAGTTTCTTCTTGAAGACATCTATGTGGGGTTTCTTTTAATGTATGATAAAAGTCACCTCCAGAACAGTAGTCCATAATGAAATAGAAACATGTTTCAGTAGCAAAAGACCAATACAAATGAACAATAAATGGATGTCTGGTTGTTAAAAGAATTTCTCTTTCTGTTGTAACACGGTTAGTTTTATTTCTTTCTTCCATTTGTTTTTTAATAAGTATTTTCATTGCAAAGTAATGATTTGTTCCTTTCAACTGAACAAGATATACTCTTCCAACATTTCCCATTCCAATTAATTTTACTTTTCTGAAACTATCTACAGTAACGATTTGCGGTAAATCGGATTGACTTTGACATACTGCATCACTAGCTATTGATTGTTCTGGATTTGTTGCCATTCCTTGAGATATTAGTTCTCGATCTCATTCTTTTCATTTTGTATTTTTTCCTTTTTAGTTAATCTCTATTTTTATTTTTATTTTTTTTGATTTCATCTTTTTTTCCTATCCCTTCCCTTTCTTTATCTTACCAATTTTTATATTCATTTCTTCTAACTCTATTAGTTTTAAGCTAATTTTCTTATTACTTTTCAATCATTTATTGTTTTCTTTTCTTTTGATATTCAAAGGGTTAAAATATAGTTTATTTTAATAATTAATAAATAATAATTTTTAATAGTTAAATTTAGATGGAATAAGAGAGGTCTTTAGATTATTGTTTCTCAATAGTTATTTCATCAAATGAATAATTAAGAAACATTTTTCAGAGTTTCGTTTTATTTTTTCTTTAAAAATACAAATGTTATGAATAACAAAAAAGATTAATAAGCAGATTCCATATCTAAACTAGATTCTGATTCTGTGTCGAGGAAGAACCTCAATACTACAGCAGCCATTTTTGAAGTTTCTGGGTCATGATGGTTTATGTAAACCTCAACACACCTTTTAGTTCCTGCTTCGATCAACTTTTCTACATAAACATTTTCACCATTTTGTGCAAGTGAAGCACCAACACAACAAATTTTAATTAAAGAAGATAAATACAGTTGTACTAATCTGTCATCTCTATTATCAAAGTCTGCAAAGATATAAAATAATTGATCCATTTGACAAAGGAAAAATACTTCTTGATCGTCTGCCATTACAAGGATATTAATTAACATCCATTTAATATTATTTTTTGATTCATCACTAAGAATTATATATTTTTGAATGAGCATTGGTACTATTCCATTATTTATTAAGAGTTTTTTAAATGAATCAGAAACAACAAGATTTGAAGCAATAAATGTACATTGTTTTAATACATTATCATTTGTTTGTGGACTTGCAATAATTGATTTAATATACGAGAAAATATCATGCTTAATAAAATGATTAAAATATCGCTCATCTTCATAAGAATAAGCTTCAAGTATTTTAAGTATAGGTATAATGATTAAAGTATTTTTTTTTCTTAATAGTTTGAATAATAATTCAAATACATGAGACTCTACTAATAAATTAAATTGTTGTAAATTTCTTGATATTGTATATATTCCCCAACAACTATCAGCTATTGCAGATTCACTTGATTCTTTTTCAAGTAATTGTATTGGTATTATATTACGAATAAAATCAATATTATATTGTTTTGAAACAGAACGACATATATTACAAAAACACCATGCATAAGAATTTTGCAATGCTACACTTGTCATTGGTTGTTGATTAATTCTTGTCATTATTTCTATAAATCCCATTTGAAACACAATTGTTGTAAGTTCTTTTGATTCAATAATTAAATTTGAAAAGAATGACAAAGCCATTGAAACAATTTCTGAATTTTCATCTTTTAAATAATATCCCATAATTGTTAATATTCCACCAGTAATCAATGGATTAAGTAGTCCTTCAGATAATGCAGAAATATTAGTAAATATATGAATTGAATATTTTATTTCTGGAAATGTTAAATTAGTTTGTTGTAATAATGGGCGTAGTGTCATTGTTACATCCATAACTTTATCTACAGTGACTGTGTCATTTTTCCAATTTCGAGTTACATAACATAATTCCTTCAATACTTGAATTTTAAGCTCTTGATTTTCGTTTTTAATTCCTTCGTTTAATAACGAAAGTAATTGTTCTATTGGTCGAGTTGATTTAATTGGAGTATTCTCTCCAAGATCAATTACTCTCTTTTCATTTTGAAATTTCTTTCTTCGTTCTGTCCTCAATGAAGAAATTTGCAACAGACGTGTTTTAACTTGTTCATCAAGTGATTTATTATCTCTTCCTATATTCATATTATTTTCTTATTCAGTTCTTTTTTTTTCTCCTTTTTTCTTTCCTTTTTACAATTGTTTTTTTTTCCGTGTTTAAGACATTTTCTTTTTATGTTTTATTTTTTATTTCAATATGTTCAGATAAATTCTTTGAAAAATAACCTTTTTATTATACAACAAACTTATATAAATAATATTTATACTAATTTTTAGTGTGTTGGATAATCAGAATTAAGTAATAGTAAGTGTGTATTGAAGTGATTAATTCTTTGATTATTATTTTTATTTTAAACTTCTTAACTTTGAATGATTTTTTCAACCCCTTTAACGCGTTGTTTTATCATATCAAAATAACTTTTACAAACAAAAAAATTATTAAGAGTCAAACTACTTCTGAAATTAGATATTTCTTTCTTATCTTAACATTCAATTGAACCAAATTTAAGTTGAAAATCTTTTTCAAAGAAGAGAAAATTAATATGACACTGTTTTTTCATAACGAGAATTTATCAAACAAAGTCTATTGTATTTACCTTAAATACAATTTAGTTTTTAGTGTTTTATTTTCTTTGTTATGTTGAGTTAAATTAATAAGAATTTCATAAATGATTCATTAATTATTATATTCTTATGTTTTCTAAAATAAAAAAAGTAAAACTTGTTTTTTATATATGACTGAGAAATACATAGAAAAAATGTGTTGTGTTGATAAAAAGTATAGTCATTACGTTTGCCCTCGTTGTCATCAAGGAGTTTGTTCTGTGAAATGCTATCAAACACACAACAATGGAAATTGTTTTAATTCATTTAGTAGTAATGAGATTAATCAATTAATGAAATTTAAAATTAAAGAAGATGAAATTCAATCATTTAGAGATGTTCTTCAAAAAGATGGCAAAGTAGACACAGAAAAGTATGACACTAAAGATATTGATGATATGCTTCTAAGAAAAATTGAGTCTGGTGAAATAAATGATATTAACCAATTAAAAGCAATATTGTCTCAAGATCAGATACAAAAATTCGAAAGAAATTTAACTAAATTATGCCAACAACAGATAGAGCAATATGTGCCATGGTATTTGTCAATTTCTTCATCAAATCTACCTAGAGAAATAATGACTAGCATTAATGTTAGTAAAGTATCTCCAGTGGTAGTTCAATGTATTGATTGTTGTTGTGTTGTTTATATTGCTTTGACGAGACTGTATGTTTCTACTGAAATATTTGATGTTTATTCCTCAGAAATAGATGTCCAATTACAAGAATTACTTCCATTCCTTTATCAAAGATATCCAACAGTATTTCCAAATGACTATATTTATTACGTAATTGACTGGATGAAAAAAAATGAATATATAGAAAATATTCCTCAGACAGCTTCTCTTATTCGTGGGGATTACCAAATTATTAAAGAAGATATTTATTTAGTTTCTTTACTTATTTCTCATCTTCACCAATTTTATTCACAATTTCCCTTAATATCTAAGAAGTTAGAATTTTATTATGCATTTGTAAATACTCAAGAATACAGAAGTATTACAATATCATATATTAACTAGATGAGAAAATAAAAGAAGAGACAAAAACATGAAAGAAAATCATAATACATTAAAAAGGAAAAAATAAATTTTAGATTTTTTTATTTATTTTGATTTGTATAGTAAAAATATAAAAAAAAGCTAATTATCACTGTGGCTTAGTTTCTTTTTTTCATAAGAAACTTGTTAATAACTAATAAATGAAACCATCAGGACCACTTTCTGATGTTAAAGATGAACGTACAATTATTACTTCTAAGGTAGTTGTTTGTTTATTGAGTTAATAATTAAAGAAGTCTGACATTTATTTAATAGAATAACATTCGATTATTTTCAAAGTATTGTTATAATTGTGTATTAAACAATGAAGGTGTTTATGTTTGTTTGACAACCAAAACGATTTTTCTTATAATTAAAGTGTGTTAATAATAAAATCTAATATTACAGCAACTTCACTTAATATTATCAGATATTTTGTATTATGGAATTACTGATGAAAGTATTATGTTTCTTGTTATTGACCTTTTTCAAAACAAATTTAGATTTGTAGAAGATAAATACAATTATGGGAGTGTATTTATAATGTTGAATATACTCAGTGTAAGATTACTTAATTGTCCACAGTCATTGTTTCAGGCTGTTACTAGACTAAAAGATTATTACAGAGCTTCTATTCCTTATGTATCTGTTGATCAAATGAGTTCTCCAGAAAAAGAACAATATTGTGAACGTTATTTAGATGGTTTTGGATATCGATACACGGAGCATTGGGTTTTAGACAATTCTAAACCAACATTTAGTTATTCTATTTCTTTATTACACCAAATATTAGATGATAGAAATCATCACTATAACATTTATACAATTATGTATACATTTATGACTCCAGAATTCACCAAACATAAAACGTTTGTTGATCTATTTGAAGAAATTTTTGTGAGGATTAATAATAAAACCAATTTAAGTTTGTCATGAAAGTGATTATTTTAAAAATACACTCATTTTTTATAGAGTCATTTGTTTCATTAATTAAAAAAAGGATAATGGAAACTGATATTGATAAACAATATTTCTCTTTTCAACAACTTGATTATATTAAGTTACTACTCGTAAATGCTTATAAAAAGTTGAATGACTCTTCTGTTTTAGAAAAGAAGGAATATTTTTGTTTTCAAGATATCAAAAATCTTAGAGAAGAAATTAAAAAAGGAAGTAACATCAATGATTATATCACAAAAAAAATCTTTGACGTTGAAAGATCAACAAATTATAGTACTACCAAGAAACACAACGAAAATTATCATATAGTTAGTTCAGGAGTTGAGGAAATAAATTGTTATCCAAGAAGAGAAGTTCATTACTCAAGAAGAGGAATTGGGAGTCATAATAGGTCTCATTCTAGACCAAGTGACAAACAAACACAATATCCAGAACGAGAATTTTATGGTGGACTAGAGGAAAACAAAAGAAAAAAATTCCAGAGAAAACAATTAATTAAAGAAATAATATTAGATGATAACAAATTTGATGTTCAGTTACTCAACAACGTAAGAGTTATTCAAGAAAGAACTGACACTTCTAAAGACATACAAGCATCTGGGATTATTACAACCACAGATGATGATATTAAAACTTTTGATAAAAAAGAAGGAGAATTTGAGTTATTTGAAGATTCAAATTTAAGTTCAAGTAATGATGATGTTGAAGAAGCACTAACTACGAAAAATCATGTCTTTGCATCTATTGTTTGTTATTGTTTAGCATCAATGAGTTTTGTCAAAATCTTATCAATTATAGCATGTCCCACAAGAAATTAATGAGTTAGGGCTTGTTTCTTTAGCAAAAGAAGTGAGTCGTGTTAAAATGTATACATTTGATATTACAACAAGAGAGTTATTGATTGAATTTATGAATAATAGAAGTCTAAATTCTTTTATTTCATGTAGAGAAATGAGATTTGTTGAATGTAAAACCTTTTAATTGAATTGTTTAAACAAGAAAATAGGCTAAATTGCAGTTTTGAGTTGTTGAATACAACAATATTTATTTAGAAAGATTTTCAAAAATGATCGTTAATGGAACATCAGTTTCTTTTGAGGGTATATCTCTTTCATTACTTGGAGCACCTAATTCTCTAAATGCAATATCCTCTCTATCTGTAAATGAAGTACATTTTCTTGGATCAGTTTTGTTTATTAGGATAAACTTATTTGTTTGTTCACTATTTGTAAATGACTTTGACAATCGTTTTTGGTGACCTAATTCTAAGTTAAAAATGTGATGGTATTGAGTGATAAGAAATTCAACAATATCATAAATTGTTGATGGTATAGCTTCTGTTTTGACCCATCCAAGGTATAAAGCAAATGAATGTGCAATAGAATGAGGAGCATATTTTACAGGATCTACATTGTTAAGATACACAAACATTTCAAGTATTTTATCTAGAAGAAGTCTTTGCTCGATTGGAAGCGTCCTAATACTCTTTTCAACTAACTCAACATTAATAGGATTAATTGATAAAAAAGAAGAAATAGGATGAAGTAATGGTGTTGGTAATGACATAAGAAATAGTTTCAATATAGTCCATGCAACTGAAGCAGTCATATTTTTAATTTCATTATTATTATTAATTGAATTAATAAGTTCTTGAACTTGGTGTGGAGGTAAGGTTTCAATTATATCATTTGGATGTTCTTTAATAGTATCAATACAAACAAGTAACAGTGGAGGGATTTCTTCTCCTGAGACTTGACGAAGTTCTTTTAAATCAATTCCAAGAACCTTTTTTTTCTTTGCCGTTATAATATAATTTTTAATTAAATTTTTCCATTCATTTCGTTCTGTTTTATCAGAAAAGAGGATAACAAAAGTTCGTTGACGGAAATCAAGTGTTTCAATCAACAATAATGTTTTACCTCTATCCTTTGAAGACTCGTCTAAATTATCTTGAACTTTTGTGTGTATTAATGAAATCTTTCCAACAATTTGTCCTTCATTTGACTTTCTTGTTAATGACAATAATGACTTCTTTGGGCATTCATAAAAAAGAATTTGTTGGCTAGTCAACGTCATATTTAATGATTCTTCAAAACAACGTTTTGAAGTATATGTTGGTGATGTAAATACTTGTGCCTGATTAGCGTACAATGCAATAAGAGAACGGATAATAACTTTAGTCATGGTGTTTGGTGACACTGTCGACATACAAATTTAAATGAAAATTTTCTTTTTTTTCTAAAAAATTTATTATTTATTTTCAATAGTTTTTTTAATTAATAAAAAAAACATTTGAATATTCTATTTTTAGTATTAAAAAATACCAAACTTTTATCAAAATAATTTATAGTCAATAATTCATGAAACTATAACTTACTACAAAAACTTTTATTAAAAAAGTGATACACGAAGAGACTAACCCAAAAGAAATTAAAAATAAAATAATTTAAGAAAAATTTTTTTGAACAAAAAAAATAACAAAACCATTCTTTATTTCAATATTTAAGAGTGGTTAACATAAAGAGTTTAAATTTGTTAATAGCTCTTCTTGTTGTTGATCAACTTCATCAAGTAATGAATTAATAGACTTAAAAGAATTTTGAATAGTATCAAGTGTTTGGCTTTTTAAGTCTGATTTTTCTAGTTCAAAAAATGTATTGGTTTTATTATTTAAACCAATTAATAAATCGGATGTCTCTTTGAGACACCAATTAATGTATTTTAGGTTTTCAACACTTTGAATTAATGGGGTTGTTCTTATTTCTTCTCTTTTAAAATCGTCTTTTAGTTGTTCTTTTAGTTGACTTATTTTATTAATTATTCTTTCTTTACATTCACCACAATATTTCTTTTCATTTTCTAAGTGATGAACCCATAAATAAGAGTTATGTTTTAATTCTTGAGATATCATTTGGTCTTTGTTATTAATTTCAATTTGCTTTTCTTCAATATTTTTGAGGAGTTTCTTGTCTATAACTAGTTCAGTATCTAAACTGTATTTTTCTCGTAATTTTTTTTGAATAAAATTACATTCATTCAATAAACCATCTAGTACCTTTTTTTCTTTTTCAATACTTTTTAACAGTAAATCTTCCTCTGAAGTATTCAAATGATTCTTATTTGGATGAATTGAAGAGAAATACCAATCGATTTGGTGAATTTGATTAATTTCATGTTGAGCATATTTATTCAAGTCATCATAATAATCATCTATCCCTTTAATTAAAGAGGTAATGTGTTTATATTTATTAGTTAATTGTTTGTAACATTGAACACTCATTCCTAATGTCATATTTTCGTTAATAATAGTACTTATTAGTTGTTCTGGTACAACGTTATAATTCAAGAGATCAATGATATTATTACGAATTATCTCAAACTCTGGATAGGTTGATAATTCAATAACTTCTTCTTTAGTCTTAATAAAATACCATTCCTCAGACTTAACAAATAAATCAAAAACTTTTAGCATCACAACTAATTCCTTTGTTGATTTATTAGTAAATTCATTATTACAAACTGTATGAACACAACAAATATCATCATACCATAAATGAGGATATAACAATTTAATTCTTCTTAATATATGTTCATTCATGTATATTGAAACTGTATCATTTGAATTGTCTATTTCATTAACATGGGGGACAAATTCATCACTCCTTGAAGATAATTTTTGTTCATTTCTAAGTCTATCCCTTTTAAAGTCAAAAATTTTTTTCATTAATAATCCTCTGATAATGTTTGTTTAAATAGATATTGATTCATGAGATTGTTTAAAATGAAAGGATATTCTATTATTTAATTTTTAGTTAAAAAATAAAAATTTCTATTTTTGATTAAAAAAGAGAAAAATTAAAAGAAATCAAAATCATTATGTTTCGATTGTTCATATCAAATGCACCTTTTATTTATATTGTATTCATTTCAATATGCTATATCACATTTTGTATTGAACAAAAAAATCGTTTATGTTTAGGTAATAGAACAAATGATACAACAGGACTTATGGAAATACATTCAGTTGCTATGTTATCAGGTTTTCTTTTACCAATCTTATCAATCTTCAGATTAATAAAAGGGAAACTTGTTATTGTTATTCCATTTTTTGTTGATCTTACTACTTCATATATTATTCATCGGATTGGGTCTTTTATAATTTCATTTCTTAATATTTATCTTGAAGATACTACTTGTAGTAAAGATAGAGAAACATTAAATGGAGTAAATGGATATTCATATGCAATAGTTTATTTCTTTCTCATTTTCATTAGGCTCTTAAATTCAAATGATTTATACCCTCAAGCCACTCAATCAATAATTACCCTACAACTACAATTTCCAACATACACCCAAAATGCATATCAAATTTTTTATCAAAGCCTCGGTCCATTTTCATGTAGATATTCATGTAATTGTCAAAATTATATTCGTTATAAACAAAAATGTATTTATCATTCAACAACATATATCATATTAATGTTATATATACTTTCTGGAACTATATGTATTGGGCATATTCTAATTCATGGGTATGCAACAGTAAATCAAATTTTTTATGGATGTCTTGTTGCTTATTTAATGGTGTTTTTATTTGATTGTATATTATATTATTTTAGACCAATGGTTAAAGCAATTATTTTAATTTGTTTCTTTTATTTTACTATGTTTATAGTTCATGCATTTGTCGAAGGGGTTTCTGTTCATTACTCATTTTATCATATGATCTGTGTTGTAGATTTGATATCATCAGTGATTCTTCATATATCAGTTTATTCTCCTAAAACCATGTAAGTGACTTATTTTATTATTATTTATTGTATTATTTCCTATTATAATTTTCAAAAAATATGAAAATAAACCAGAAAAAAAACATAAAAAATATTTGTAATATGCAATCACCTCAACCTATTAATACAGATTTCCATATCGTTAGAATTTCTGGAAAATTAATGTACATTCCACACAATAATGTCATTGCTTCATTACAAAATATTTTAATCCAAAATTCACAATCAAAAACACCTTCTCAGTATGGTATGAAGTCAGCTCAAATTCAAACTCTTTTTGATTCTTTTTATGCATCTACTCTTCAGTCATACTCACCAGCAATGCAAATTTATTTTTCTTATCGTTTTTTGGCGTTGCACTCTCCTGAAGAGAAAAGGGTTGGAATTTTAACTTTATCAAAAAATATTTCATCATTAAATGAGGGTCATCTTAGTGATTTAGAACGAATATTTGATAATGACATTAATGACTGGATGATTTGTGATGCATTAGCAAATAAAGTAGTTACTCAATTTCTTCGGTCACATGAGGATTATTTTCAGAGAATATATAAATGGAAAGACTGTGGAAAAATATGGAGAATGAGAGCATGTTGTGTTATCTATGTGAACTTTGCAAATAAAAAAGAAAGTACATGTCTTGAAATATGTTCAACTTGTGTAAAAAGTAGTGAACGATTTGTACAATTAGGAGTTGGTTGTTTATTAAGAGAAATGTCATTAAATTCTACAGACAAAGTTGTAAATTTTATTTATGATAACTATAGATATTTTACAAGAGAAGGTTTAAGATATTCAATTGATAAATTAGATGTAACCACAAGAAAAAAAATCCTTGGTATTGGAAAAGGAAGAAACCCTGTTAAATCACCAGCTCCATCTCAGTCAACTTCTCCTAATATCCCTACCTCTTCAACGCCTGTTGTTTCTGTAAATACCACAGCCCAACTCCAAACTGTAGATGACCAATTACGTGCTCAAATATTATCAATGGACTACTTACATTCTGCTATTCAACCAAACATTACGGCTACTATACCAGTCGTATTACCAAATGGTCAAGTTAATTACGTCCATCCAAGTGCTAATGTAATGGTTCCTCCTAATTATTCCCAATATTATGACCTTCAAGGATTTACTCAAAATAATTATTCTCCTCAATAAACTATCAGTTTTGTTATAGTAATTTATTCTCGTAGTTTATCAAAAGAATAAAAAATGTTTCTTAACCAGTTTCTTATTTTCTTTCTTCAACTAAAACAATGTGATATCCAAATGGCGTTTTAAATGGTTGAGTGTATTTACCCACTGGCGCATTAAATGCAACATCTTGAAATGCTCCACACATTTGTCCTCGAATTACCCATCCAAGACTTCCTCCTTGATTTGCTTTATCTTCACTATATTCCGTAGCAACTTGACTAAATGGTTTTCCTTCTTCAAGCTTGGCAAGTGCCTCAAGAATCTTTGATTGCTTTTCACACAAAATGTGTCTAACTTTGATTTTAGTACACCCCTTTTGTTTCTCTTCTTTATTATCTTTTGTGGTTTTAGTTGAGGCTTTTGCTCCTTTGGCGGGTGCTTGCTTTCCTTTTGGCATTACTTATATTTTTTAGATTTTTTAATTATTTTTTTTAATTCCTTTTTGGAGTAACTATGACAGGAAGTATTAAATCTAAAATACTACAAAATGATGCTTTAAAATATTGTAAACATTGTCATAACACAATTGCATCTATTAATCATATCTTGTTAGGATGTAATGAAGAAAAATCAAATATCAAAACATGATTATGTTTGTAAACAAATATAAAAACAGATATTAATTACACATCTTAATGAATTTGATGCTATTGATTTTAATAATCCTCCTAAATGTATTAATAATGATAAAATGGTCATAACTTACAATAAAGATTTATTGGTTAGTGACCATTCTTTCCATGCTAGAAGACATAATATATATTATCAAAATATGAAAGAAAAGAAATGATATATTATAGATGTTGCTATATGTCAAGATAATAATTTAGAATTAAATTATATTCATAAAATAAATAAATACAAAGAATTACAAGAGAAAATAAGAAACAATAGAGAAATAATATATGTAGAAATAATACCTGTAATATTATCAATAAATTGATTAATACACAAAGAATCAGTAAGAAGATTAAAATCACTAAAATTACAAATAGAATTACCAAAAAAATACATAACAAACAACAATAATAATCAAAAACTATGAAAGACTTAATGTTTTACACAAATAATTCTGATAATATAATAGAAAAAGAATCAATCTAATTCAACATAATATAATATAAAGTAAAGGTAAAAACATAATGAAGAAACTAAAATAATCACTTCTCGATATTCATAACGATAAACTGTAAATGTATGATCCATTATTTGATGTTTTTTTAATTTTAAAACATTTTTAAATCAGAACATACAGTCAATTTCATTGTTATTGATATTGATTAATATTCTTATACCTTTTTTTCAATCAAAAAAAAAAAAATAAATAAACCATAAATAATCAAAGATATATGAAAAGGTACATATCAAAATTAATAAAATGTATAAAAAGAGAATGAAATTAAAATTTAATAATAAAGTAATTAATTAAGTATTAATAGAAATAGCTTCTATTCTTATTGACTCAGTGGAGACTAATCCTGTCAATTCATCTTCTAGTATCTCTACAGAGTATGTTTGATTGTGATTGAAGCAGTATTCCATAACATCCATCATGTTTTTTATTACAAGGCTTTTTAATTTCTTTCTCGATGTCAATTTCAATTTTTAATTCTTTAATTAATTTAATACTTGAGTTATTTATTAATCCATTTATTGAGATTACTACTGGATTTATTTTGACATCTTTCAACTTTTCTATTTTCATTAGTCTATTCTTTAATTCCTTATACATATTTCTTTTCTTCCAATAGGCTCCATTAATATTGTGATCAGCCACAATAGTCATATCAAATAATAGACTAGTTTTGTTCTTTTTATCTATTACATATATATCTGGTATTTTGTGATATTGTCCATCACTTTTAGGCATTATTTGTTTGTTCAATATCATCATGATGTCTTTATATTTGAGCATTGTTTCATATGAGGTTTTTATATTGTTTATTTCCAGTGTATTTTCTTATTAATCAATATGATTATGCCAATATTATCATGTTTTTCTATTTGTGATTTTTTATGATAAATACAAGATAGTAGAATGTGTTCTACTGTAGCTATCTTGTCTTTACAAAGTGTGGAGTATTTCAATCTTTCATTTTTCTTTATTTTTGATTTTCTATACACACAAAATATTACTCCATCCTGCATTTTAGTTAATTGAAGAAATGCATTTTTTTAATATTGATGGATTTCCATGCTTTCACTGTATTAGTTTTATCTACTCATTTTGACATGAACCATCTTCTAAGATGTCACTTATTTGATGACATTTCCATTTTTTGATGTTATTTGTTGGTCAATAATTTTTTATTTCTACTACTACTTCTTTTTCTTTTTTATTTTCAATCCCTTCATTTATTATTTCTTCTATTTTTGTTTCATTGATTTTATGAATTAATGTTTTTTAATTCTATTCCACATTCCCTTCTTACTGTACCATCTATCTAATATGTTATTTCTTATTTCACTTTCTCTGGTACAGTAGTACATCACTGTTTTTACTAATTCAATAACATATTCGTCTCTTATATTTATTAATCCTTCACCCATTTCTTCTAGAGGGACATATAACCTATCTTTGGAGTTTCACCATGTATTTTGCCTTTCTTAAATATTTTCTTATCTCCAAATCTATTTTATCTAGGTCAGTGATTTTCCAATTTACAACTGATGCTGAATATCTGAAGATATTGATTACTTCCGTGTTTATTCTAGTAATATATCTTCTATTACTACTTTCATCAGTGTTTATTTCTTCCATCTTTTTCATCATTTTTTCTTTGATGATTTTACAATTGAAGGTGTCATCAATTTCGTCGGACTGCCATATTCCTAAGTATTTATACAAGTCATCACCTTCAACTATAGGGATGTTTTGCATTCTATTTGGTATTTCTTAATGTTTTTTAATACCATTCCTGATTTTTTTCTCATTCATTTCCATTTCTATGAAAAGAAATTGCGAAAGAATTAGAAAAATGAATATACAACTAAAAAGAACAATCTACTTACAAACCAAATAATACAATGATAAATACATACTGACAAATTAATAAGAAAAGTAAGATAAAAGAATAAAAAATAGTAAGTGATAATGATGAAATTGTATATGTTAATAAAATAATATTGGTAAGAAACAGAAAAACAAAATGAACAGGATAAATAAAGATAAGTGAAATGACTAAACTGAATAAAAAAACACAAAACAGCATGAAAATGAAACAAAAAAGTTGTTAAGTAATGCACAACAATAAAAAGTTATAACTAATAAATACCAATGAGAAGAAAATGATAATAATAAAGTTTGAAAAGAAATAGATAATATAAAATGATTTTTATAAATTTGATTTAAAATACAAAATCAATCTTAGTTAATTATTTTTTTATAATACAAATGATACTATATATATCCAAAAATAGTGAATAAACAAATTTTATAATTTATAACATTTTAATCATTTGATTTTATTGTTAATTAAATGAAAAACACTGTTATGAATATCAATAAATTAATGACTCATTTCTAAAATAATTTCATAAATCATTTTACGTCAATTGCTATTTTCTTTTCTCCGAACTCACAGCTATTTTAATACACTGAGTGTCAATAATAAACATTTCATTTAAGCTGTGGTAATGTTTTTAATCAAGTCGGAGTCATTGGTGTTTTAAATGATTCAAAACCAATAAAAATGGATTATATTATCATATTTATCATTAAGTTTTTTTATTGAATAAAAATGAATCTGTTTAGTTATAACTTCTCTTTTATTCGTTTGATACCAACTCTTATCTCTCTTACTCATTTTCTGTTTTTAATTGCATTACACGTGGCTTTTAAAATTGGTGTTATCAAATCAAATGATAATACTAATTATATTAGAAGGTTGATTGTAGTTCTAATAGAATTAAAAATATTTGAATTGATGTATTTAAATGTTATTATATAAAATAACCATATCATAAAAATCAATAATACCAACATTACTAATATAACTCTAACAAATTTAAAATAATCAAAGATACTTTAATATGCTATAAAATAAATATTACATATAAAAGTAATATTAAATAATGAAGATGAAGTTTAATAATTAAACCAACTTCATTCTTATGAATAAAAAATAATAGAATAAGAAATATATTGGTAATACAAATAATTATACACCAATTAATAATTAGTCAAATAGAAAATAGTGATGTATTAATTAATAAATATAAAAGTAATGAACAAGTTAATGACAACTTAATAAAAGTTGAGAAGAAAGATATTTTAATGAATATAAAATATTGTAATAATACTAATTCAAAATATTTCATTGAAACAAATTAATAATAATAAAATAATGAATGCTTTATAATTAATAATTATAATCATAAAAAGATAAATATTAGATATTTTTTAAACAATTTCAATATTATTTTTATTACTATTTAATCTAAATCATTGTATTATCTTATTATTTTTCATATTAATTTGTTAACAACATATTTTTCATTCATAATTCAATATTATATAATCAAACACTATATAAACGAAGTATTTTCATCTAGTTTTGATTATATGTAACTTATTAAAAATTATAACTATTTTAATATTATTATAATGAATTTAATAAAAGATATTCAAGAATTATTTGATTTAAATTAATGAAATTAAATTTAATAAATGATTATTATAAATACAAACAATTTTAATTTAATCGAAATGTAATAAAGTGTGTATAATTATAATATAAACATGTGTATGTATTCTATTGAAGCTTCAGCAAAAAAAAGAAATTGAGAGCGATTAACACTAGAATGACAAAAATAAAACAGCACTAGAACTAATTTAACAGATACGTATTTATAATAAACAGTTATAAAAAAGTTTCAGCAACAATTTTAAACTTGAACCAACCACGAACTACACAGAATAATTCTGAAATAGTATTTGTTGTCTTTAACAAGAAACAACTAAACAATTGAATAAACAAAAACCAATAGGAACAGGTTGTATTAAAAATATTAATTAAATCATCATATAATTGAATAAACAGAAAACAATAAATTCCTCAGTTAATATAGTATTTAAAAAATTTTGTTATTTAATAAATAAAAATATAAAATTAAGGTTATGTGTTTCCACGCAATGTCCTTCTGAAAAAGGACAAAAAGAAAAAGAACAAATAAACATATTTTTTATGTCAGACATTAAATACGTTTATTTCATTCTTGGAGGTCCAGGTGCAGGAAAAGGTACTCAATGTGATAAATTAGTAGAAAAATTTCCAATAACTCATTTAAGTGCAGGTGAGTTATTGAGAGCTGAAATGGCTCGACCAGATTCACAAGATGGACAATTAATTTCTTCACTCATTAAAGAAGGAAAAATTGTTCCTTCACACATCACTGTAAAACTATTATTAAAGGCTATTCAAGAACATCCACACAAAGTTTTCCTTATTGATGGTTTTCCTAGAAATGAAGAAAACAAAAACGTTTGGGAAGAAATGGCTGATTCTAAAATTTTTGAAGTTGTTAAATGCATTACCATTGATGTTCAAAGAGAAACAATGAAAAAAAGAATTATGAAGAGATCTGTTGATAGTGGAAGAAGTGATGATAATGAAGTTACTGTTTTAAAAAGGTTTGACACATTTGAAAAAGAGACCTGTCCAATCATTGAACATTTTGGAAAAATCAACAAATTGTTAAGAGTCTCAGGTGAAGGAAGTGTTGAAGAAGTGTTTAAAACAATTAATGAAGAAATGACAAAATTCTACACAGAAAAGAAAATTCCATTCTAATTAAAATCTTCTTTTTTCATTCTCATCATATTAAGATGAAAAGTTCTTTAATGAGAAAGAAATGAATGATAATTACAATCCTTTGTATTGTCATAAATAAAAACATTTTTATTTTAACTCATTCTAATTAAATCAATTTATTCATCTTTTGTATTAGTTGTAGAGTCAGTAATAAGTTGTTGATATTTTCTATTCATCTGTTTAAAAGCAAGAATAACAACAAAGAATAACCCACAAATACTCATAATAATATCAAATAAAAGAACTTGTTCATATCCTGCATCTCCATCATAAACACAATTTCCATTTTCATCTTTTTTAAATGAATCAACACATTTAAAACATTGTTCTTCCAATTTTCCTCCAACTGAACCTTCTTCACACACAGCACAATGTGCATGTTCACATGGAGAACATTTCAAACCTCCAGTAGAATTATGAGTTAATCCATACCTTGGTTCACACTCATTACATAATTCACTATTTAAACAATTGTTGCAATGTTCTATACAAGGGCAACACGTATATGTTATTGTCATAACATCAAATGACTGTTCAAAAGTACCATTCCCACACATCTTTTTTGAGTTATACAAGTAGCAAAACCAATGGTAATAAGTACAAAGAAGATCATTTATAATTATTAGTATTGAAATATTCTTATTCAAAAAAAGATTAAAATTTTTCTTAAAATCCTGTTAAATTAATTCATTCATTTCCTTTAAAATTTATTTGAATCATTTAGTAATTATTTTGTTATTTTTCTTTGAAATAAAAACAAAATAAAAAAGATAAAACAAGATCTATTAATAACTAATACAAAAGCATGGGTTTGTATGTATTAATATTATTAAGTAAATAATATTAACAATCATTAGAAACTTTACATAAAATCGATTCTTTACTTGCTAAATTAACTAATTCTATACCAGAAGTAAAACCACGATTTCACTTACATCCCTCTCGTCCACTAGAATGTTCTTATAGACAATTAGATACTTTGATTACTATTATTACTGATGAAAAACCATATTGTACATTAAGATGTTATAATAGTGCTTTAGAACATAATATCACTTCTTCTTGCCTTTGTAGAGTAACTGGAGATTATTATAATATGCCATTTGAATATAGAAGAAAACAATTAAATTCTGAATCAATAACTCAATTATGTAAGTCATTAATCCTTGAAAATACAGCTTTTCCAGATGATGGAATTGAAACACCAACATTTTCAAGATTTTATTTATTAATTGTTCAATATGTAGCACAAATGCAATCTCATAAATTATTTAAATATCTAAGAACAATTAATCCAACTGTCCCAAAGAAATATTTTCATTTTAGGGTTGCTGATGAAAGTGAAGCAATTACTATTTCTGGATTTGAACACAATGCTATTACTCCATTTGGAATGAATAAAGAATTACCAATAGTTCTTGCTGATGATATTACTAAATTACCAGGTGATTATTGTTGGATTGGAGGTGGAGAAATTGACGTTAAATTAGGGTTCAATGTTTCAGAATTTATTGAAAAAATGAAACCAATGGTCACAGATATTTATAAACGTGATGGAGAAAAAGATGAAACCCCAATAAATGATAACTGATATTTACTAAACTTATTTTGTAGATTTTTGGGTTTAAATTTTTAAGAAAAAATAACAAAATATGATATAGTTTAGTTATTTTACATCTTTTTTATCTTTTATGATATTTATTTGTTTTACTAAAGGAAATATGATTTTCATAGAGATTACTTTTTTGTAAGAAAAATCTAATCAATAAAATAGGCGGTATGAACGACACTGATATATTTGTAATGAAAAGAATGGGACTAACTGATCATGAAGTCATTGAGTTTATAAAAGTTTGTTTCTTTCATGTTTCATTTAAAAAATACTTTATAAGGTTAATTCTTTAGTTTAGTGCTTATCATAAAATTATTGATTATGTGATTAACCTTGAAAAAAAATCAAATTCATTCAGACCACCTGTCCCAACTCATCCACTGCCACCAACTCCTACTCCTAAAGTACCATTTCGTTCTAGAAGTCTCACAGTATCTTCAGAAAGAGTAAGTAATTCTCAAAAAGATGAAGAAAAACGAACCATTAAAAAGAAAAAACCCTTACTTAGCTTTTCTTCAATGTTAGAAAGAAAAAGAGTTAATCCTGAAGAAACTAAAACAAGTGCTAAAGATGATTTGACTATAGCTAAAACAAAAAATGAAATAAAGCATGAACGAAGAAAAACTTGTAGTGCTGTCGGATTAAATGCTTTAGCAGTTATTTCTAAGTCAACAATAGTGATTAAAGAATGTGAATATAAAGAAATAACAAAAATTGAAAGTGCATGTAAAGCATTTGTTGCACAAAAAGGATATGATTTAGAAACAATAAAATTAAGAAGAGAAGCTGTTAAAGAATTATATGAAACAGAAGTAAGTTTTTGTGATAAAATGTCATTATTAAACACTCATTTTAGAATACCAATGATGCAATTAAAAAATAATGGACTTATTCTACAAAAACCATTTGATAATGTCTTTCTTACTTTAGAAGATTTAATAATATGTAGTAAAATGTTCATAGAAAAATTAAAACCAGTTGTAGAACATTTTAATTATAATACTTGTTTAGGTAATTTAATGGAAGATTTATTATCTAACGTATGGCCATATATCAGGTTTAGCATTGATTATAATATTGCTCAAAGTGAGTTAAAATTTTTAAAGACATATCCATGTGTTCAGAAGTTATTAAAAGATAAAGCAAAAGAACCTTCTTTAGATAATCAAACTATTGAAGGATTATTAATCCAACCAGTACAACGAATCATGAGATATCCAATTTTATTGAAACAAATATTGAAACGAACTTCAAAAAGTCATCGAGACTACAAAACATTATTCGAAGCAAATGCAGATTATACTTTTTTCATTCACGAAGTAAATGAACGAGCAAAATTACGAGATAAACTTATTGAAGTTAGTCAAATTTTAAATGACATTAACTTAATTCAACCATGGAGATATTTCTTAAGAGAGAATAAAGTATCGTTAAATGGAAAACATAAAATGGTTTATTTACTAAATGATATGATTTGTTGGGAAGGTGATAAAATTTTAGTTGATAATAAAGTAATATTAGAAACACCAAAAGCAACAACTTTAATAGTAAAAAGAAATCATGATAGTATTAGTCTTAAATTTGAACAAGAAAGTGATGCAAAGGATTGGAAAACAGTACTAGATGATATTATAGCAAATGATAAATGGAGAACAAATAATGAAAAGAATTGGTTTGCAACTTTATGTAAATTCAAGAGTAGTTGGCTTTAAAAAAAATAAATAATTTACTGTGAATTATATTCTGTTTAAATAAGAATAGTTATTATATTATTAAGAAAGAAAAATAAGAAAAAAACTAAAAGTATTCCAATTTATCACAAAAGAACCATTTATTTATTGGGCAACTTCTTGTTTCTTAATTCTAGCATCAGCATTAAGAACTCTAATGTTTAAGATTTTAGCTCTTTGGATAATTTCTTGTCTCTTCTTAGCAGAAACAGCATGTGAAATTTCAGCAGCATATTTTCTGTTTTGCATCATAATCATTTCAAGATCAGTTGTATTACGAACTGGGAATTTATAAAGTCCACATGGAAGCATATTTCTTGTGGCTTTAGCACTTCCATATCCAATCTTTGGAAGAAGGTTAGTTCCCTTGAATTTTCTTCTTAATCTATTATCAATACCTCTTGGAACTCTCCATGATGCTTTAACACGAAGGAATCTGTTTGAATCAAATCTCTTGAAATGTCCAGTATATTTCTTAACAATCTTTGGTTTTATGACAGGTCCGACCATAGATAAGAGAGACTAACAAATTAAGCCCTTTTTTCTAGTTTGTTCCGTGTTGGGGGTTTTTATTATTATTATTTAATTTTCTTACTATTCTTTTTGCTATCTTTCTTTCTTCTTCAAATTATTTTTGTGTCATATATTACAAAAAATAAATACAACAACCCTATTTTTTCTCTTCATTACTTTTTGTGATTGATCAGGATTGAATCATTTCATGTCTGACGATACATCAAAACTTCCTGTTCTTCAAAAGGAACATCCAAACTCACGTAAGGCTAAGAGAAAAGCGAAAGAGGAACAACGAGATACAAAACTAAAAATGGAAAGAAAATTGCATCGAGTTCTTAAGCAAGCTCCTTTAGTTGATATGGTTAAATGGTTTAGGGATAGTATAATAGCTCTTGGAATTAATGAAACAAACATCAGAATTGTAACACAAGAAGAGTTATTTGTTCTCTCTGTTAATTATTGTTGTAGAAAAGATGTAGAGTATGATGATATTGATGATAAAATAAAAAAAATGCTTCATACTACCTCTTCAATACAAAACAAAAGAGATCGTATTTTAGAAGAAATATCCAATATGAGAAAGGCTTTGATTGGAGGAGTGGATATTCCAGACTTACTTGATATAGACAACATCAAATTTATTTTAACTGTTCGTGATATTTATGTTACTATTAAACAATCTCTGAAATTAAGAACAGTGAAATACTCTATGAAAGATACTCTTCCACTAACTACTGGCGTTGAGCTTGCTATTAAGAAATTTGAAAGAAAATTTGATTGATTTGATTTATATAACATTACACTTTTTTTTTTTGAAAAAAGGAACAAATTAGTTCACTCAGGAAATGCAACTACAAATGTCATGTAGTCATGATCAGTTAATGGAATTAATACGGTTACGAAATGCCATTAATTCAAGAAAAGAAGAATGTGCCGATTTAGAAGCTAAGATATCAAATATTTTATCACAAAAATCTGAAGGAACAACCCTTAGTGAGAAACTTCAACGACTAGAAGAGTTACAACTCAAAAGAATTGAGTTACAATCCAGAAAACAAACTCTAATGAAACAAAATGAAGACCTTAAAATATTTATTGAAGGAGAAAGTCAAAAACTTATGAAAAGTGTAGAATTAATGGAAAAAGTCCAAAAAAAAGAAATGAAGGAAGTACTAGAAAATAGTGTTCAGGTTTTGAGTATTGCTGAGGAATTGGAAAGACAACATAAAGAGTTACAAAACAAAGTATTTCAATTAAAGAAAGAACTTATTAATCAATTAAAAAAAATATATTCTCTAAAACAACGTCTTGATGATAAACTAACACAACCTATTATGTTACTAAATGGTGTAGTTATTCCAAATAAAATTGGGTCTCAAGAGCTAGAATTAATGAATGAAGTATACGGTGATATTGCTCATATTATTAACTTATTAGCACGTTATTTCGATGTTTCTTTAAAATATCCATTACACCCAAACGCTATGTATTCTTTGATAAGTGTTCGTGGTAAACAACAGCAAACACTCCCTTTGTACAGTAAAACAGTTAACCAACAAGCTTATCGTACTGCATTAACATACCTCAACTATGATATTGATCAATTACTTCTATATTTTGGAACAGAACAGTGGGAAGCAGCAGCTCATGCACAACCTATTGAAAAAGTATATTCGATCTATCAATGTTGTGATAAATGTTTTAATACTACGGATACAACAGAATGAAAAGACAATCATAATCTTATTGATTAGTTCATTTAAAGAACAATATTTTTTGAATTTTTGTTTTAAATAACATTTAAATAAAAAAAAATTTTAAACAAAAAAACCAATAAATTGAATTTTTTTTTATCTTAATTCAATTATTACCCAAAAATTATTTAAATAAATAATGAGTCTTAGTTTTCATTAATTATGTGAGTGTTATAAGAATTTTTAATACTAAACAAGTTAAATAAATACTCACTTCTAAATCAATAAATTAAATGTTTTGGTTGATATAGAAATATTACTAAATAAAATTACAAAGGTATCAAACCTTATATTTCATATTTCAATATCTTTATAATATTATTACAATAATAAAATAAAAAGTAATATTTTAATTATTTTTTAAACTAATTTTTCTTGGTTGATAAAATTATACAAATCTTATATTTAATCTACCTCAAGTCACTGTTAATTATCAATTAATAAAAAAAGTAACAATCGGTTTTATTATGTATTAATAGTAAATTAATTATTAATTTTTTAAAGTAATACAAATTATTGAATTAACTTTATTCTTCATTAACTAACAACAAATAAAAATAAATCGTTTCAAAAACAAATAATCCTAGAAACTAATTTTAAATAATGAAACTAAAATTTTGTTTTAATATTTTGTTTATTTTTTAGAACATTTTTTAAAAATATTTTTTGAGATCATTTAAGTATTTTTGAGATTGAATTAAGAAAAGAAAAAAGTAAGAATCTTGAAAATAATAAAAAAAGGAAATAAAATGATTACTAGAAAAATAGAATGTCCTTGTAAAAATGTCTCTATTTCTGTTATAAGAAATGAAGAAAACATTAAAAATCCTTTTGAATGTGAAAATGTTAAAGAAATTATTAATGGAACGATTACGAGTAAGTATAATTTTTTAATTCAAACACGTAATAATGAAAATTGGACTATTTTAAAATGCCTTCATTGTAAATGTGATATTTGTGCTAGTGAAAGAGATGACCCTAAAACGATTATTATTTTTAAATACAATGAAAATGTATTAAAAGATGGTAGATTTTCACAGACTTATGGGATTGTATTGAAACATCATTCAATAGAAGAAGGTTTTGTTGGAGATGAAGAACGTCGTGAAATAGCTAAAATACGTCAAAGAAAGATTGATGAGTTATATAAAGAAAAAGAAAGAAAAATTGCTGAATATGTTAAAAAAATTGAAGAAAGATATGAGTCTGATAAAGAAGTTGTTGAAGAAGAAGAAAAAGATATGTTATGTGCATGTTCTGTTGAAGAAACATTTGTTGAGCAACAAGAAGAAGAAAGCTACTTTAACTTAGATGTAGAAAATCCATTTGGAGAAGTTCCAATAAAAGAAGATGGAACTTTTGTAGGTGTCACTGCAAAGCAATCCATTGACAAGAGAACACCAAGAAGATTAAGTAACCAAGTTATAGATATAAAAAAAGCAACAGATAAAGTAGAATTTATTGGATTAATGGGTTTAACTCAAAAGAAAGCTGATTCAATTAGAATTTCAAGAAGTTTAACAACTGAAGGGAAAGATGAAGAAGAAGAAGGTATAAATGATAATTTTCCAAGTACATTCCAAGAATATGTTTGTTATTATTTAACTTATTTACACTTTATATTAAAAGTGATTAAAAGGAAATTATATTTATTCATATAGACATTAACAAGAAAAGAAACAAACGAAGTTCCAATGTCTAGTTCGCACATGAGTTGTAAGAGTTATAGATTATTATTTTAACTCCATATAACAATTTAGTTTATTGCTCAATATTATTTAACTGTGTATTTCTTTTCTTTAATTTATTTCTTTACATTTTCTGTTTTAAACCAAAATTAATGTAAAAAAATGAAAAACCATAAAAAATATTAAAGGCACGTTTAGAAGACATTCCATTTAGTTAACTTTTGGAAGTGGACCTTTTGTTGTAGCTAATTTGAAGTAACATCCATCAGCAATAATCTTTCCATCTTTCTTAAGTTGTTGATATTCTTCTTTAGTGTATTTAGTAAATCCCCATTTGTTGGAAATAACGAGTTTTTGTCTTCCTGCAAATTTGTAACATGCAAGTCTGAATGATTTAATCATTGCTGGAAGATGTTGTTCTTTACATCTTCCTGAAATAAGAACTTGTCCTACTTTAACACGAGCACATGATCCATATGATTTACCCCATGCTCCTCTCATACCAGTTTGAAGTCTATCAGCTCCAGCACATGAAAGCATTTTATTAATTCTAAGAACATGGAATGGATGAATTCTTATTCTAACATGGAATCCGTCTTTACCTGCATATTTAAGCATATTCTTATTAATTGAAATACGTGCTGCTTCCATAGCTTCTGATGAAATATTTTCTCTTTCAAGTCCTACAATGTGTACACAACATGGGAAATCATCACATGGTGCACTTCTGTTTCCAATATCAAATAATTTGATTCTTGGATCTGGAACACCACGGCAGTACTTTGATTTTGGATATGGGTGTCCTCTAACAAGTCTATAACATCTTCCTGGTCTTCTTCCCATTTTATAACAATCTGCCAGGGTTAGTTCATTTTTATAAGATCCTCTTATCGTTATTATCCCGTTTTTTTCCTTCTTCTTTGGCTCCAATTGGTCCTATTCGATGGTGATTGATGTGTTGATTATTTCTACATTTAGATTTTTTTTAAAATAAAAAACAAAAAAACAGAAAATAAAAAATTCA